GTCCATACAAAGACCTTTTGAGTAAACAAACCCAATCTTCCTTGCCTTGAACCTCAAATCCTACTGGTTGTTGCATAAAAATTTGTTCTTCTAATTCACCAAGCAAATATGCAGTTTTAACATTCATTTGCTCAAGTTCCATGTTGAAATAAGCAACCATGGATAACAGAATCCTTATAGAAGAATGTTTCACAACAGGAGAAAAAATCTTATTGAAATTGATACCCTCTCTTTGAGTGAACCCTTTTGCTACCAGCCTTGCTTTAAACCTTGCAGGCTCCACTCCATCTTTTTGAACACCCATTTACTTCCAACAACTCTAGATCCTTGTGGCTTAGGAACTAATCCCATGTATTATTTTTTTTCTAAAGACTCCAGCTCCTCATTCATGGCAAGTATCCATTTTCTAGCATCATCAGACTTCACAACTTCATGAAAAGACTTAGGTTCCTCATCATTCAACTTATCTGCAACAATAAGAGCATATGTTATTAAATCTGCATAGTCATACCTTGCAGGTGGTCAAATTTCTCTTCTATGCTTGTCTCTTGCTAGTTTGTACTGCTCTAAATGGCTATCTAACTCACCATATTGCCTGAAATCTTCCTGTACCAAATCAGCTCCTTTTTGGTCATCATTATTTTCCTTTGAACCCGCTGAAGACTCCACCTCAAACTTATACTTCTCTGGTAAAAGTTCATCGTCCGCTTGTGTGCAGCTATTTTCCTGAACCTTCATCAAACCGCCTTCACTAAAAGTGGCATCCCTACTTATTATACATTTTTTTGACTCAGAGCACCAGATCCTATAGCCCTTAACACCATCTGGATACCCCATAAACAATCCTTTCTTGGCTTCCGGTACAAGCTTACCTTTGTTGACATGATAGTAAGCTCCACAGCCAAAGATCCTAAGTTTCCCATAATGTACAGGTTCTCCTGACCACACTTCCTGTGGGGTTTTGAATTCTATTGCAGCTGAAGGAGTTATGTTTACCAAATAGGCTACTGTGTGGACTACTTCTCCCCAAAATTTATTTGACAGCTTGGCATTAGATAGAAGGCACCTAATTCTCTCCAGATGGGTCTTATTCATTCTCTCTGCTAAGCCATTCTGTTGTGGAGTTTTCCTCGTTGTCTTATGACTGACAATACCCTATCTTTACAATACTCAGTAAAGACATCAGCAAGGTATTCAAGTCCATTATCGGTTCTAAGGTTCTTAATCTTCTTATCACACCTATTTTCCACCATGGCTGCTTCATCCTTAGTTTTTAGCAAGTAAATCCATACTTTTCTACTAAAATCATCAATGAAAGTTATGAAGTACCTATTTCCTCCATGTGAAGAAGTTGTAGCTGCACCCTAGAGATCTGTGTGAATATAGTCAAGAACTGCCTTGGTTTTGTGCACTGCCTTGCCGAACTTGACTCTTTGCTTTTTCCCATATACACAATGCTCGCAGAACTTAAGTCCTCCTATTTTGTCACCACACAAGAACCCTCTCTTGTTGAGTTCTTGAAGACCTTTCTCTCTAATATGGCCCAATCTTTGATGCCATAATATAGCCTTTTCACAATTTCCAGAAACTATTGTAGCTGCTTCTCCTTGCACAGTAGAGCCTTGAAGAACATAAATTCCATTACTCCTTTTACCTTTCATAATCACCAACGAGCCTTTGAGCACCTTTAGAACCTCATTGGCAGCCTTATAGGCACATCCAGATTCTTCCAACATTCCAAGAGAAATTAAGTTTCTTTTCAAATCTGGTACTTATCTTAAATTACTTAGAATTCTTTCTACCCATCTATCATTCTTAGCCTGATGTTACCAATTCCTGTCACATGGCAGACAGCATTATTTCCTATAATCACCTTCCCTCCATTGATTTCTTTGAAAGAACTAAACCAATACATTAACGAACACATGTGAAAAGAGCACCCCGAATCAAGAACCCACTCAGTTTCAGCTTTTCTATCTGCAACCAAGAGAACATCAGCGGATTCATATCCATCAGAGGCAACAGAGACATCCCCTGATTCGCTATATGTATCATGCTTCTTGTTCCTTTTTCTTTCTGGACATTCACGCTTAAAGTGACCTTCTTTATGGCAATGGAAACACTTTATTTTTCCCTTTGACTTAGATCGAGCATTTCTGAGACTTTTCATCCTTCTTCTTTGATCAGCCCCTTACATTCAAGCCTTCACCATTGCTATCCTCATTTGACTCGGTTTTCTTCTTCAACTCTTTAGACATTAGAGCTGTCTGGACTTCCTCTAATGTCAAAGAATCCCTACCATAAACTAAAGTATCATGGAGATTCTCATAAGCCGACGGTAAAGAACGTAGGAGAAGAAGAGCTTGGTCTTCGTCATCAATCTTGATCTCAATATTTTCAAGATCAAGAATGATCTTGTTAAATTCATCGAGATGGTCTTCAATTGAACACCCTGGCTGCATCTTAAAGTTTTACAACTTCTACTTCACATGAAGTTGATTCGCCAGGGACCTCGTCATGTAAAGACTTTTCAGCTTGACCCAAATCGCAATTGCCAACTTCTCTTTTGAAACTTCTCGATAAACTCTATCACCTAGGCTCAAGATCAAGGCGATGTGAGCCTTGTCAAGAAGATCCTTCTTTTCCTTGTCTGGGAGAGTACTCAGAAGATTCTTCTCTCCGACGAGCGCTTCTTCAAGCCCTAAGTGCATCTGAAGAGCCATCATTTTTAATCGCCATAAACTGAAATCATTCTTACCATTAAACTTCTCAATGTCATATTTCATGGAAGCCATCTTGCAAGCTCTGATACCACTTGTGAACTCACGAGCAACCCCAAATGAAATATGAACAATTCTAATACAAAGCAAACTAGTCAAAATACCATGAACACAGGCCAAGATTTCTGGAAAAAAATCTCTCACGCTTTATTGAATACCACTTGTTCTGATTTGAGCAGTGATTTTGAGTTAAATTTGAGTTATAACTTGAGTTGAAGTTGTAACTTGAGTTTGTGTTTGAATTTACACATTTGAATTATGATTTAAATTGAGAATCTATTTGAGTTTGTGTTTGGGTGGGTCAAAACTTAAATTTATATTTATATAGTATTTTAATAAAAACTCAATGGTGATAAAAAATTTTAATAGGGTATATAGATGGGATTTTATTCGTCTTTTCGTTGTGAATGCATAGAAAAAAATCATCTCAATCAGAATTAAAACGAAAAAGTTATGGTATTTTTAAAAATAGAAAAAATATTGTTCATTAGCTTGAGTTCGAGTATATGAACTCGAATTGAAGGGGAAACTTGAACTCGAGTTTAGTCCTAAACTCAAGTTCAAACTCAAATTGTACAAAAAAAATGAACTTAAAAAAAATTGTAACTAGAGTTTAAACTTTTTCTGAATTTCATTGTAAAAGAACAACCCTTTATTTATTTATTTATTCATTTTTATCCATTTTTCTAGCCTTAAGAGGATTATCATATTTTAAAATATCTCTCAATTTTTAAAATAATTTAAAATATCCCGCGATTTATAAAAAATAAATCAAAATATTCTTTCTATCCACTTACGTCTGTAACCCTAAAAGAATGTTGACGTGACACTCATTTTAAGACATAAAACATCTTAAAACTAAAAAGGAATAATTAGAAATATAATTAACAATTCAAAGAATAATTATGAGCCGTTTAGTTCACTGATTCGAGTTTTTAATTTAAGTTTAGATGTGATTTTATATGAGAATTTTTTACTGTAATAAAATTTAAATTCTAAACTCAAATCGAATCGTGAAATTAACAAGACTTTATTATTAACAATTCAGAAACCCAAAGTTTTAGAAAAAATAATACACCTGAAATCTCTTATCAAAACCCACTCAAACTTTGAACAGCAAACCGGTCTCCAAAGTCCACCCCCACCTCTCGACGGTGTAGTCCCTTTTCTAACTACGATCAAGTCACTTGCGTCCACAGTCCAGTGCAGCGACAAGATGTTGAACACAGGCATTCTGTCTGACTTAATCTTCTTCACGGCGTCGTCCTTGGGGAGTCGAGATTTGGCCAATGATGACAGTGTAGACCTCTGATGATTCTAAGGAGTCGAGGGAGTGAATGAGAGAGGGAGAGTGATGTTTTTTTCTTGTACAAATCTTTTTTTTTTTTTGGCTTCACAGATCTGGTTTGTTTTTTCTTTTGCAGATATGGTTTGTGTTTCCGTTTACAGATATAGTTTTTTTTTTTTAATTGTGCATTTCTAAATTTTGAGATGTTTAAATGAGATTAGATTAGATTTGTAAATCCAGTGGCACACTTAGAGTGTGTCAAGAAGCTTAGATGGGATTAGTACAGGTTATGTGTTAGGGATAGTTTTATCTTAACAATTTGTAACATGGGTATTGTTCATTTTGCCGATTCAATTCGAGTTTTGTTACAGTAAAAAATTTTTAAAAATAATTACATTTAATTTTTTTATTGCAGTAAAAAATTTTTACATAAAATCATATCTCAACTCAAATCATTAAACTAAACCGGACCATAATTATTTTTTGAATTATTAATTATTTTTTGAATTATTTTTTTTAGTTAAATTTAAGATATTTTATGTTTTAAAATGAGTGTCACCTCAACATTTTTTAGGATTATAAAGGTAAGTGGATGAAAATAATATTTTGACTTATTTTTTTATAAAGAATGAGATATTTTAAATCATTTTTAAAAATGAGAAACACTTCACGAGACATTTATAAAAATAATCCTCCTATTTAAACGCAAAAGGCTAGAAAAATGGATAAAAACAAAAAATAAATAAATAAATAAAATCCGCCGATCAGTGGAATTGAACCCTTCACATAAAACAAGACACAGACCACTTCTTCCAACAAACTCATTTACACGCTGTTGACAGTTTTAAGTTTTAAAAGTAACAAAACATATAAGAAAGAGTCCCACATTGAAAAATTATGAGAATATCTTCAATTCCCCTATATAAGGATTTTGGGGTTCTTGATTCACGTGTATGCTCTCTCTTCAAAGAATATTTTTATAGGCTTTTATTGTTTTTGCTTAAAATTTACTCTTTTCTGTTCATACCAAAACCAAAAATGATCAGTGAGCAGTCGCAACCACCTCCTATTCATCGGATCGATGCAGACGACGACGACGACGACAACGTTAAACAGCTCAAACAATGTTCTTCTCTCTACTTGGCTTTACAGGTAATTATTTTATTCTAATCACTCAATTAATTGCTAATGTTCTTCTCTCTACTTGGCTTTACAGGTAATTATTTAATTCTAAGCACTCAATTAATTGCTATTATAATATAAAGAGTTTTAAACCCTAAAACGCTAAACCTTGATTTCTTTTCTTTCAGGATTGTCTTATAAAGACCAATAGGAACTGGAAATCCTGCCAAATGGGTATTTTTTTTCTGGATCAAAAACTAACTTTTTTCGGAAACCCATGTATTGTAATTGCGTTTTTTAAGTTATTTGATTTTTTTTTCTTCTTTATGTTGTTCAAATTGCTCTTAACAGAAGTTCAAGCTTTGAAATCTTGCAATGAGAAGAAGAAAGACAGAGAAAAGTGAGATATGACAAACTAGAGGGAGAGTGTGATCGTGATTCATTCAAGATTCTGCATTTTTTAATTGGTTTTTTGGCACTGTATTTTCTCAATCAACTAATAAAATAAAATAAATTGTTGAGATTTTGCTGTCGTTTGAACTTTGAAGTGCTTATATTCATTCAACTGTTATACTCAAGTTGATGTTTGTCTCTCTTTAGAATTGTCGTTTCACTTGTCATTTTTCTACTCAATGACACGGCGTCTTGATTTTTAAGCGTAATGTTAATGTCTTGTCGTTTTTGTTTTTTATATTATCGTCGTTTTCATTTGTGGTCGGCTGCTTCTCAAACTTTTCTCGTTTCTCGGTTTGAGGTTGTTTTCTATTTATATTTTTTTGTTGTAATCTGATTTTGTTTCGCTTTCTTAAAATGTTTTGTCGTTTTTTCTTCTAAATTGTTGTTATCGTTTCTGTATGATGTCCTTTTTTCTTCTAAATTGTTGTTATCGTTTCTGTGTGATGTCGATTTTTGTTTTAAGTTGTTCTTGTCGTTTTTTCCTTTAAATTCTTGCTATCGTTTCTTTGTCGTTTCTGTATGATGTCGTTTTTGTTTTAAATTGTTCTTTCCTTGTCTCTGATGTTGGCAAACCTTATATAATATAATGTCATCTTTTTATATTTACTGTCTGTGATGTTATATTTTCTACGTTTATGCCGTCTTTCGTTGTTGTTTCCATGTTTATCGAGGTTTTTTTTTTCTCCTTTCTCAGTTTGTTGTCCTTTTTTAGTTTTAATTGTTGTTGTCGTTTAGAGTCCAATTTCGTTTGCTTTTTTTTTTTTTTAAACATAAGTTTGTCGCTTGCCAGTCTAACATCCTTCTAAACCTCTTCATTTATCCTTTCTAAATTCTGCTATTTATCTTCCTAACCTTGATGTGGGATTAAAATTATATTGTCGTTTTCCTTTTTGGTTGCTGTTGTCGTTTATCTATGTGATGTCGTTTTTGCTGTTAAATGGTCCTTGTCGTTTTTGTTTTTATTGCTGCTGTCGTAGGTCTGACCACTGATGTTGCATTCCTTTTCTTAAAATGTTTACTAGTTGTTAGTCTGATGCACTTCTGTATGTTGTTGTTTTTCTTTTCTCATATCTGTTATGGCATAGTCCAATGTTGACTGTCCTTTTCTTTTTAATTAATTGGTTTGGTTGTTTATCTGTGCGATGTTGTTTTTTGTCTTAATTGTTCTTTCTTTATTATTATTGTCGCGGTAATGTATTGTTGGTATCTTCTTTTAAAAACTAAAAAAAAAAAAAAAAAAAAAAAAAAACTTCAGCTACTTGGCCAGTTTTGAAGGATTTTGCTCTATCCTTAAGTAATGATTCTAAACTACAACCTTTTTTTTTTTTTTTTTTGTAAACTTCAGCTACTTGGCCAGTTTTGAAGGATTTTGCTCTATCCTCTAAGTAATGATTCTAAACTATAATCTTTCTGAACCACTGAAATGCAAGATTATTGCCCTATTCTACAATATAAAGAAATCCCTTGCAGAGAATGATAAACTAATGGCGTTGAGGAAAAAGAGGTTATTATTATGTCTCAACATCATAAACCGACAACAACATACATCACTCACACTGCTGGTCTTCCCAGAAAGGCAGACTACATTAGTAGGAATTATTTTACAAAAGTTACAAACTGAGTGATGAAAATTTAACGGACCGCTCAAGGCTTCAGAGGGAAGCATTCCCCGGAATAAACTTGACCGAAACGCTGTTGACGCAGTGGCGTTCATCCGTCGGAGTTTTGAACCCCTCGCCTTTGAAAACGTGGCCCAAGTGCCCTCCACAGGCTGCACATGTGATCTCAGTTCTTCTCCCATCCGGATCCGGCTGAAAAAAAAAACAGAAAATGGTTGTCAATCAATTATCACACTAATTTGTTAAAACGAAATTTGTTCGAGGAAAACTCAATGAACAAGCAACGGAAACCCACGGAGCGATTTATAGCTCCAGGCAGGCCCTCAAAGAATGCAGGCCAACCGCAGCCAGAGTTGAATTTGGTTACGGACTTGTAAAGTGGAATGTCACAACCACCGCAATTGTAAACCCCTTCTTCAAAGAACTTGTCGTATTTCCCGGTGCCTTTCTGCCTGCATAGGCATATAGCTTAAACACTAGTTAATTGATGCTACAAACTAGTAACAAAAGGCAGAACTTAAACATTAAAAACATAATTAACTGGCGTGTTTAGGTTGTTCCTAAGCATGTTTCAACTTATCAAGTACAGACAAAGTTATGCCAAGAGCTCAGAACTGCTTTAGCTCTCCTTTCTTCAGGAAAAAAGGGGCATACTTTACACTTTACCAAATAGTTTTCCAAGACCAACATAGATAGAGCCATAGAGAACCTTCCTCGGGAAAAAAAAATACTAACAATTTAAAAAAAAAACATTGATATAGGACATAGAAATGAGTTTCATTGAACCCGTTTGGTAATGTTTTCAAAATTATTTAGTTTTCAGTACAAAAGTAAAAATGAGATTGTTTTGATAATCATTCTGAGACCGATTCTAAAATTACATTTGGTTAGTTTTTTAAGAAATTATTTTGAGTACAATAAAAAAATGAAATCGTGTTTGATTATAATTATTAATTAATACATTATAACATTGTTGATAAATATTAAAAAATAAAAACAGAAAAGGGAAAACAACTTTCAATCATTTTTTAATTTTTTCACAAAAATCATTCTCACTGTTTTTTACTTTTATTTTCGTTTTCAAAACATTTGCTAAACAAACACGATTTGTAAACCGTTTTCATTTTTGTATCTCAAAAAACGTGCAAAAACGTTTTTAAAAATAATCTGAAACCAATTCCAAGCGCACCCAATTATATCAAGCAAGGAAAGCCTGCCATTATGTTGTGCACAGTTCAATTCCTGAACAAAAATCTTCCACACTTATCATCATTTTTGCTTCTTTAGAAAAAGCGCCATGGAAGGAGGGGTGTTCAGCGAATCCAATTCGTGCATTTTCGGCTTAAATTACAACCTATCCACATATTTGTGTTTTTGAAATTTGCATCTAATCCAGTCTGCACTTGGCATATTAATTTATCCAATCTAATCCGCATCAGTGTGGACTAAATCGGTTGCTTGTGACTGGTTTCGGACCTAAGCCCCAATGTTAAATTTTTTTACTTTCTTTTTTTTATCTGAACAATTTTCCTTGTGAAAAAAGACGTGTTTAATAACTTACTAAAATCAAACTATAGATCTAGATTAGAAATAGTATTCTACACTCAAAACCAGTCAAACATACTTCTGACAATAAAACTAAAACTTATAAGTGAAAGAGTCATAAACTTCTGGTTGTTATACAAAATTTCAACAAATCCAATCCCCACTTTACAGATTGATTTAGATCAATTCAATCATGTAATCAGTTACGGTAACAGAAGATTATATCCACTTACGCACAAATTCATTAAAAAACTTTCAGCAAAAAGAAAAAAAAAATCATTAAAACTCATTATCTCAATGCATGATTAGATATCAACATAGTGAAAACATGATAAAAAAAGATGGGAATTTTTACTCTGTTCCTTTCTGACGAAGAATCCAAAACTGTTCAGGAGAGAGAATCGCTCGCCATTCTTCCTCTGTCTTCTGAACCGAGCCAGGTGTTGCAGCCGCCATTCCTATAAGAATCTCACTCCCAACTCCACAAACCCAGTTAGATGCGATTCGATTCGTTTTCTCGGGAAAATATGCTCTCTACAATTAACCGGAAAATGAACCTGGACAGAAAATCCTCTTTTGTAAGGAAATCCGCAATTGATTATTTCGTTGGACACGTGGCATCAAAGTGGTCCCTCCTTGACTTGTTTCCGTATTTATTTAGGCCCCGTTCATTTCGCTAATTCGAGTTTAGAATTCGAGTTTTGCTACAGTAAAAAGCTCTCACAAATAATCACATCTAATTTTTTTACTACAGTAAAAAACTCTCACATAAAATCACATCTCAACTCGAATTAAAAACTCAAATTAGCGAACTAAACAGGCCCTCACTTCTTTTTTTTCCTCTCTTGCCACGTATCATTCCACTTTTTAATAAAATTAAAGCATATTATTAGCGAAATTTTTTTATATCATGTATTATATTAAAATATGTTTTTAATATTGTGTTCTTTATAAATATCAAGTAAGCAAATTTGTACCTTAAGGAATTTTTTGAGACATAAAATATCAAATTTATCTTTATTAATAATTTCTCATTTAATTAACCAAATGATAAATTGCAAACTAATCAATCAAATGAGAAATTATTACAAGCTAAACAATCAAATGAGAAATTATTACAAGCTAATCAATCAAATAGAAAATTATTAAGAAAAAGAGGTTTAATTTGAATTTCTTTAATAATTTTTTTAATTAATAAATTTGAATTTAGAATTTCTTTGATTTTAGGCTGAGGTATAATTGTTACTCTGGCGATTAATTAGAATTTACTTGTCTACTTTTATAAAATTGTTACTCTATTGGACTAAATATAGTCAAATTCATGCCTTATTATTAGATTTTATAATATTACTATTTGTTTTTTTTTTGTTATATATAAATGCATACTTGTTTACATGTAGGAAATTCGTGCATTTGGTTGGTAGATTTGAATCATGATTTTGTAGTTCGCTACAGTATTTTTTCTTATAAAAAACACACATAAATTAAAAATTATTTTAAATCATGTTCTTAAATTCATGAACCAAATGTTTGAGCAATCATGTGATCCAAGCATAACATGAGATACAAAACAAGTTCTCAAAACCTAAAAGGCCAAATTAAATACAGTCCGACTAGTTTTTGTTCAAGAATAGCGAAACAATGTCAACAACAACAAGTCTTAATCCCAACTTAATTGGGGTTCGCTATATGAATTTCACTTTTCTACACGGCTCTGTTCAAAATTAAACTTTCCTGAAGGCCTAGATCTAGAATGTTTTTCCTAACAACTTCGGTCCACGTAATTCTTGGTCTACCCCTCCCTCTCTTAGTATTAGGTATAAGAATGTCCTCTCAAGCACGAACTGGTGCTTCTAGCGGTCTACGTTAGACATGCCTGTACCAACTCAAGCGGCCTTCGCGCACCTTATCTTCTATTGGTGTTACACCTACTTTACTACGAATAACTTCATTCCTTATGCGATCCATTCTCGTATGGCCACTCATCCATCTTAACATACGCATTTCTGCCACAATTATCTTAGATACATGTTGTCTCTTAATGGTCAAACATTCACTACCATATAACATAGCTGAGCGGATTACAGTCCTATAGAACTTTCCTTTCAATTTAATAGGCATCTTGTCATCACATAAAACTCCCGTAACATTCTTCCACTTAACCCACCATGCCTTAATCCTATATTGAATATCCTCTTTTATATCTCTTTCTTACTGCACTATAGACCCAAGGTACCTAAACTCCTAGAAGCCACAATCTCCACACCACCTAAAGAAATTCCATCACTCTGATTACTTGAATTACTAAACCTACAATGCATGTATTCAGTTTTCGTCCTACTTAACTTAAATCCCTTCGTCTCGAGAGTCTGTCTGTATAATTCTAACTTACGGTCAACTCCTTCCTTATATTAACTATCTCATCCGCAAAAAACATACACCAAGGAACTCTATCTTGGATTTTTCTTGTCAACTCATCCATCACGATGGTGAAAAGATAAGAACTAAGAGCAGATCCTTGATGAAGGCCGATCCAAATGGAGAACTCTGCCGTGTAGCCTCCAGCAGTTCTTACACTCGTGACCACCCTATCGTACATGTCCTTAATTACCTTAATATACCTCACATGCACTCCTATCTTTTCTAACACCCACTATAAAACTTCTCTCGACACCCTATCATATGGCTTTTCTAAATCTATAAAGATCATATGTAGGTCCGTCTTGGCTTCTCTGTACCTTTCCATCAGCATCCTAAGAAGAAAAATGGCTTCTGTGGTTGATCTGCCTGGCATGAAGCCAAATTGGTTACCTGATATGGTAGTTGTGGCTCTTAATCTCCTTTCGATAACTCTCTCTCAAAGTTTCATAGTGTGGTTTATTAACTTTATGCCCCTATAAAATTGAGGTACATCAATTACCGACTGCAAGATCATTTAAAAGTATCAAAATGACAAAAAGAACTCGCATTAGCATCCGCTTTTAATTAGAGTGACTATGAATTGGAAAGAAAAAAAATGGAATTGAGAACCAACACAAACGTTGGAGAAATCCTTGAGGCTTATGTGGCAGAGATTGTACACATCTCTGTTAATATTTTGATTTTTCATTGATGTAGTACAATCTGAAGCTTGCAAGTTGATTATAAAGTTCTGCTTTTGCTAGCGGGACAACATATCTTTCCATGACAATATAACACGGTCTTATTTAGTTCGTCGATTTAAATTTTTAATTCGAATTAAGATGTGACTTTATTTGAGAGTTTTTAATTGTAACAGAAAAAATTAAATGTAATTTTTTGTGAAAACTTTTGTACTAAAATTGAAATTGAAAACTCGAATCATTAAAATAGACAAACTGGACCATGTAACATAGATACAATCCACTAATCAACAACATAGATAAAATACGAATGATACACAACAAAACTCAAGAGAATAAAATTTAAAGCCAACAATTAACAACAATAGTGTTGCGTAAAAATTTGTGTCTAGTTGTTAACTAAAGCTCACTTTTGTTAACAATGCATAGGAGCAAGTTTACTTGCCAACCACCAGAGGATGAGATTTTAAAATGGTTAACGTAGTTGAGTACTAAGGTATCAGGTAAGTCATGAGAGCTACCCATGCTCAAAAGATCTGAAGCTTTCAACCAAATTTTCGTAGCGGCTTCTAATATACGAGCATCTTGATAAATCTGATTACAACATTCTTTCACAGGGTCGAGTTTCTCACAAGCATCAAGCAACTCGGAAGAATCCACAGTACACCCAAATTCATCATCTTATACTCGGCAGAATGTCATTCTTTCACAAGGTCGAGTTTCTCACAAGCATCAAGCAAAATTTCCTCAGAAATAGTAAAATCCACTATAATTCTTACGTGTTCTTATTGTTTTATTGATTTTAATTGTGCTTTAGATCATTAAATTCACGCAAACCATTTAGAAATTCGTTATTATTCTGTTGACACACATCCTGATAAACCTGATTACAACATTCTTTCACAGGGTCGAGTTTCTCACAAGCATCAAGCAACTCGGAAGAATCCACAGTACACCCAAATTCATCATCTTATACTCGGCAGAATGTCATTTGCATCTTGGTCAATTAAAATCTGTTCACTATCCAACAAGTAGTTTGGCAGTGATTCAGTTCAATGCGAACGAATTGGTATCTTTAATCTATTGACCAATGAGAATAGCAAGAGTGGCTTCTAAGCCAGGCCTAAAGTTCAACACACATTCCTGCACAAGGAGTTCACCACCGTCGCCAGAAGCAACCAGTAACCATAATTATGGGTATGTTGTCTAGGAACCACCGGTATGTGGCCGGTAACTGACAGTATCCAGGCGGTAACTAGTAGTATCCAAGTCGGTAACCAGCAGTATATTGGCGGAAACACCGATTAGCAGCAGTACAGCCGTCACATTGCCGGAATATCTAAAAATTCAGCAATTCACAAAAATCCAATAAAAATTATAACAAATACACAAAAATCCACCAGAATCACAATCAGGAAAAAGAAGAAAAAAGAAAGATATGGCCTTCAATTTGGAATCTCCTTCACACGGCCACCGCACGAGGGGATATCTCCGGTGAGATCTCCTCCACGCAGATATCTCCGAATCTCTGCCGTCATAGATCTCCAACATTGTGATGGAGGAGATCTCTGGATTTCCTCTCTGCGACGGAGGAGATCTTCGAATCTCCATCATGAGTGGAGGAGATCTCCTCAAATCTCCTTTGTGCGATGGAGGTGCGACGCAACACCGAAAAAAACACCGCAAAATCTCCATGAGCGGATCTGTGCATTGATGGCTCCGTGCTGATGGAAAGAGAATCCTGAGTTCAAAGTCTGCGATGAAAGACACAACGATCATCTCCACCGGAATCACCAACAAACTCCTCGCACGGCCTTGCGATTCCGCCGAACCTCGGTGGAGATGAGACAATGGAGAAGATGGAAGCTGCTTCCTATGCGAGAGAGACAAGAGGACGAAAGAGATAAAGCCCTAAGTAATTACAAGGGTAAAAAGGTCTTTTTACTTAATAAAATCTTGTTCATTTTATTTATTTAAATTTTTAATTTTAAATTTTTACAGTTAAAAATTTTTAAAAAATATTAAATTTAATTTTTTTTACTACAATTAAAAACTCTACTAAAAATACTCGAATTTACTTAAAAATTTTCCATTGCAGTTTTTGCAATGGTTTTGAAGTCTAGGGCATAAGTCGATCCACACTGAGGAAGCGTGGCAGCCCGCATAAATATCTCTTGTTGGCTAGGCTAAGGCCTAGGCCCAATATCAGCTCAATTAGCCCAGACTTCCAAAATGACGCCGTTTCGATAGTCCAATTTGAAGAGGAGCGCCTCTTCTTCTTCTTCAACTACGAATTTTTTCGATCCCCCACTGAAGAACAGGAATAATTACAGACTACAGAAAAGAGAAAAAGTACGAGAAAAAACCAGTTCTTTCATGGAAAAGGCTCTGAATATGACCTAGAAGTAGAAGAAGAAGAAGAAGAAGAGGAAGAGTGAAAATGGAGGACGCTGGATTTGGGAAGAAATCAGGGCCAGGCTCAGCAACCGGAGGGCTCGTATCGCAGCAAGCATTCAATGACGCTCGGCCGCTTTTCTCTCCGTCTCCTTCTCCTTCTCCGCAAGCGCCGCCTTTTCCGGGCGCTTCTCCTCTCCGATCTCCCAGGTTTCTCAGCTCCGAACTCCGATCAGCTTCGTCGCTTTCTTTTCTCGATTTTCGCTCTGGAATACTTAATGGAATGATTGTATATGCGTTATGGTGATTGATTAGCCCTAATTGTTCTCCAGGCCCGTTGTCCAGTCTCCCCCTGGTCGGAGCGATGGACAAGGATCGCTCTTCAAGAACAATGGCGGCCAAAAGCCGCTGCCTTCTGGGGTCACATCGCCTGCTTTCAAGGTTTCTCGATGGCAAGGCGGTAGAAGACCCAATTCGCCTTCGTTTCCTTCGCGAGGAGAAGATTACTCAAGAAATTCCGGTCAAGGTTTCCCTAGAAGGTAACTCCGAACTACTTTTTTTTGTTTTTCGTTTGATTGTTTCGTTTGTTTCGTTTGGATTTTGCGCTGTGCTGATACGCGAATTGCTTCTAGAAACAATCTTTCTGGCGAGAACTTTCGTCCTCCTCCCGTTGGAACTGGACCAGTACGGTAAGATTTCATTTTCTTACTTCTTTTCATTCTTGAGATACTCGGTATTGTTGTTTAGATTGGTTTGTTGATAATTTGCAGTCAATTTGTTCCTCCGAGAGCTCATTCACCTGAGCTGGGTTCAAGGAACAATCTTTCTCCTGAGGGTTTTCGTCCTGCTTCTATTGGAGCTGGGCCTGTACGGTAAGATTTTGTGCTTGTGAGTTTGTTTTCCTTCTTATTTCTGATTCTATTTACCAGGTATTTGAAATCTTGCAGTTCTTAGATTTGGTTGTTAATTATTGTAGTCACTTAACTCCTCCAAGAACTCAATCGCCGGAGTTGGCTTTTAAAAGCAACCAGTTTGTCGAGGCGGCTTTTCGCCCTTCTTTTGCTGGAGCTGCACCTACACGGTAAGTCTGTATGTCCGTGTCATATGTATATGTATGCTTATGCACATTTAGATGAACCCATCTTGTTGCTGTTGAAAAACGTTACACATGAATCGAGGCGGCTTAGATTTGGTTGTTAATTATTGTAGTCACTTAACTCCTCCAAGAACTCAATCGCCGGAGTTGGCTTTTAAAAGCAACCAGTTTGTCGAGGCGGCTTTTCGCCCTTCTTCTGCTGGAGCTGCACCTATACGGTAAGTCTGTATGTCCATGTCATATGTGTATGTATGCTTATGCACATTTAGATGAACCCATCTTGTTGCTGTTGAAAAACATTACTCTCATGAATTGAGGTGGCTTAGATTTGAATGTTAATTATTGTTGTCACTTAACTCCTCCAAGAACTCAATCGCCGGAGTTGACTTTTAAAAGCAACCAGTTTGTTGAGGCGGCTTTTCGCCCTTCTTCTGCTGGAGCTGCACCTATATGGTAAGTCTGTATGTCCGTGTCATATGTGTATGTATGCTTATGCACATTTAGATGAACCCATCTTGTTGCTGTTGAAAAACATTACTCTCATAAATTCGGCTTGGATTCTTGGAACTCTGTGCATCTTGTTTGATACCAAGGCTAGTGAATATAGTTGGTCACTTTTTTTTTTAAATATAAACAATGCTAACTTTATGCTTTTGCTGCCTGGCTGCTCACGACAGTTGATCATCCTGTTGATGTATGATGTATCTTTCGTTTTACTAAAATAGATCACCTAATGTTGCCCTGCATGGTTTCTTCTTGGATATCATTGCACTGCAGAATTTTACTTTGTTCAATGCTTATCTTTTCTTCTTTTTGCACACCATTTTGTTTCTTGATGAAGCTTCTTTTTCTTTTTTCTTTTTTTTTTTTTAAACAGGCCCGCTCCATCCTCCTATTCATTAGATGGACAGCCCAAGTCACCACGTAATTATGTCAGTTTGCAGGCTACACAGGATCGACCTTCAGTCTCGTCTTATATAGGATCTTATGATTCTGAAAGAAGTCATTTTGATGTTGTTCAAGTCACAGATCGTACAAGATCCTCTACTCCACCATCTGCGAATGAAGTTTTCCGTGAAAGTTCTCATTTTCCTCAAAACAATGCAAAAAGGTAACCTGCATAAACTGAAGCACATGACTAATATTTCTAATTACCTTTCTAGTTTTTTGTTATAGTTTTTATATTTTAGGTTCTGGGGCAATAATCTATTTGGATAACTGTAAAATAATTTACCTAAAATGAGGAAAAATACGTTGCTTTCATTTTTTTTTTTTTTTTTTTGATGAAATACCTTTAGTCCTGTTATAGAATAACGCGGCATGGTTTGAAACTTAGAGTTCCCCTTTCCGTCTAGAGTAATTGGCTCTTTTGAGAAGTACTCAATAACATTTTGTTGAAATAGAAATGTTTTTTTTTTTACAAAGAGCAGCAGAAATTGAGCCAAGAAAGTGCTGTTATAATTTGGTACGTCATAAAATATTTTTCACCAGCAATTGAGTGCATCACACATGTTGATAGACACATAAATCATGTTTACTCTTTAAGGGGATTTTGGTACATGGACGTCTAAAGAATCCCACCCTTGAAGGAGTGGGGGGAAAGAGGGAAAAAAAAAAGTCTAAGTGAGTCTTATTTGTGCTTCCTCCCCAGGCCTTCTTTATCTCCTTCTGCATTGGGTACTGATTCAAATGTTAACTTTAGTACTCATGATTCTCAAGCTTCTCGGAGGTCTTTGCCACATGCAAACAATACTCTTTCTGAAGCTGCTGCAACCAATCCCACCAGCTTCCAGCTTACGAAAAGATCCAGATCACCCCCTCTAAATTCCAGCTATCAAGTCACTAAGGGAAGCTCCTATGATATTCAGGATGCTGATCGGTGAGATTTTGAATGGGTTAATTTTATTCATCATTAGGTTCTAGTATATTTTTGTTATGTTTCAGAATATATTGATACCATTTGCAGAGAAATGCAAGCCAAGGCAAAGAGATTGGCCCGCTTCAAGGTTGAACTAGGAGAAAAGGCACAGAGCAGTGTTGATGCTACGGATATAAAGATTTCGACCATTCAGCATGAACTGTCTATAGTTGGAAGGAACAAATTAAGTTTAGAACATTCTACAGAATTGGCTGAACATTTTGCTAGTGGCGGTGCTATATCTGAGCATGAAGGCTCAAGGTCATCTAGTGTTATTATCGGTTTATGTACAGATATGTGTCCGGGTATGTCTCTGAACTTCGTAAGTAGAGCTAGCTTGTGAACTAAAATCTAAATGATAAATTGTTGCTACTTGCAATGCTGAGGTCTTGAATTCAGTTTCTAAAAGTTACAAGAAAATAGTACTTCTACAAGAATTCTGTGTGTTTGACTCCTTAATTTTAGTTCTGTCAATTTATCATATTGATTATCGTATAGCTAGTAGTAACTTCCCTCTACTATGGATTTCTTATGAAAATTCATTTTTTCTCCTTTAAACATGGTTCTTTGCTCCAGAATCGGAAAGGATCTCGCGAGAGAGAAAAGGGGATCTTGACCAGTTTGAACGCTTGGATGGGGATAGAAATCAAACCAACAAATATCTTGCTGTTAAAAAGGTAGTGTTTTGCATTCTCTGTGTTTTATATTAAACTGGCTGTTACATTTTAGCAGAAATACTTAAAGGCTTACCCTACTAATAGGTTTTAATATCCCGTTACCTTTGTTTTGTTGCAGTATACTAGAACAGCTGAGAGGGAAGCTAACTTGATAAGACCAATGCCTGTTCTGCAGAAAACAATTGACTATTTGCTCAATTTGCTTGATCAACCTTATAATAACAGGTTTCTTGGCATATATAACTTTTTATGGGATAGGATGCGAGCAATTAGAATGGATTTGAGAATGCAACACATTTTTGACCAAGGTGCTATTACTATGCTGGAGCAAATGGTATGTATTGATGTAGCAAGTCATAAAGCAACTTTAGTTTTAGGATAAAAGGACTGCAACTGTATTGCATTCATGATGAAACTAGATGATAGAATCTCAAAATAGACTTTTAATCTCGTAGCTTTCTTGCTTTCATGAAGAACCAGCCTTTCATTGTGTTTAGTTGGTTAGTGGCAGTACACTTGTCGTGACTTCTAGATAAGGAACTTTGTTTCGTATTAATCCAGTGTCAGATGTTCATTTTAGAATTTTTCCAGCAGCACTTGACATGCTTGTTCTCTTTATTCCAGTTGGAGGCTTGAATATGTTTGGTAATTGTGCAAAGCCTGGTCTTTCACACACTGTTTAATATATCTGATTGTTTTTGGTTTGTTTCAGATAAGACTTCACATAATTGCCATGCATGAATTATGTGAATACTCAAGGGGAGAAGGCTTCTCTGAGGGTTTTGATGCGCACCTGAACATTGAACAGATGAATAAAACATCAGTTGAGTTGTTTCAACTGTATGATGATCACAGAAAGAAAGGGATATCCATTCCCACGGAGAGAGAATTTCGAGGGTATTATGCGCTTCTCAAGCTAGACAAGCATCCTGGGTACATAGTAAGTCATCTGCAGCAGCTACTCAATTGTACAGGTTTCATATTGTTGTTGTCTATGAAAATAAGTCATTCTTACTAGGTTGAACCAGCAGAGCTTTCACTTGATCTTGCAAAGATGACTCCAGAGATAAGACAAACGAAAGAGGTGCTGTTTGCACGTAATGTGGCAAGGTTGTTACTCCTCATTGATGTATTTCCAGAAACCATACAATCCATTGTCTAAGCATTGAATTGTTTTGCTTTTTCAGAGCCTGTAGAACTGGAAACTTTATTGCCTTTTTTCGGCTGGCAAGGAAAGCAAGTTATCTTCAAGCATGCTTAATGCATGCTCACTTTGCTAAGGTATAAGCAATTTTAACATTGATCTCTAGACTTTGCTAGCTTATTTCTTCAGTTTTTTTGCCCAATAACAAATAACACATCCTCATAGGTCGTCATGTTTTCAAAATTGTTGTGTATGTTGGATTTTTTCTGTTGGATCTTATTTGTTTGTATGAGCTTACATAAGCATTTTTGCACTTATGCATGATGTAGTAATTCGCAGTTTTATTATTTCTGTTCTATTTGAGCAGTTACGAACACAAGCACTTGCTTCTCTACATGCTGGACTTCAGAATAATCAAGGTCTACCTGTTAGCCACGTTGCTAAGTGGCTAGCAATGGAGGTACATTTTTTCTTGACCTGTCCTGACCTGACTTGTTTAAGGCTGTATGTATTCTGTTCTTTATCCTACGTTAATATTCATGGTAACTGAAACTAGGATGAGGACATGGAAAGCCTTTTGGAGTATCATGGTTTCCTGATAAAGGTCTTTGAAGAGCCATATATGGTGAAGGAAGGACCATTTCTCAACAGCGATAAGGACTATCCCACCAGGTGTTCTAAACTTGTTGATCTTAAAAAATCAGGACTGATATTTGAGGATGTTTCGCTTTCTACTCAAGTCATATCACCTACTAAAGCACCGGACAAAATTCAGATGACCAAGACAACTGATAAAGAACTAAAGGTTTTCCCGTCTGATGAAAAGGAAAGATCTTTCCAGAACACCTCATCCGTTGAAGTTTTTAGTCCCGTGCATGCGGTTGATGAAGAAATGGCAGATTATGAAGTTGTTCCATCCCCAAAAGAGCCCAAAAAAATGCAGCCAATAGCTGAAATTTCCATATTTAGTCAGCAGCGTAAAGATGAGCATCAGTTGCCTGGTTTCTATCCTCTGTCGTGGGATTCCTCCTTGTCTAAACCCTTGCCTAGCAAAGTTAGTATTGAGGAAAAGCCAAACTATGATAGTTCTTTCAGCATCTCTCCACAGATATACATGCATTCTGACAGAAAAGAAATGTCATTGCAACTTGTTTCAAAGACAACTCTGCAAGATAGACTTCCCGATATTCCATATACTCATACTGTGGAGAATCCAGTGCCCCAAGATATAGTTGATGAGTTGGAAGATGAAGAACCTTCGGATGTCCTCCAGGAAATTGAAAATGAGGATGTTATGGCAGACTATCAACGTGAAGAAATTGCTGAGGCAAAACTCAAGTTGATACTAAGGTCATGGAAGAGACGTGCTTCAAGGAAGAGGGAGTTGCGACAGCAAAGGCAGCTTGCTGCAAATGCTGCACTGGATTCATTACCATTGGGGCTGCTGTTTCAACCGAAACAAGACGTAAGCTTTTTGATATACTGCATGTTATATAACAATGCATGCACTGGCATGATTCGCATATTATATTTCGCTTCATCCTACACCCCATTTACTAGTTGAAGTAATTCTCTCAAACTTGATCCTTTGTTATCCAAGTCTTTTATACCTTTATTTATTTATTTGTAGCCACCCAGCACAGCTGAGGAGTTTGACATTGATCATGTTCTAAGGGAGAGATATTCAAAACATGAACAATCTTGGTCAAGATTGAATGTTTCAAAAGAAATAGCTGGTATATTAAGCAGAAGAAACCCTGATGCTAAATGCCTTTCTTGGAAAATTATTGTATGTTCTCCAAATCCAGAAGAAGCTGAGATGGGTGAATGCAGCCAAACCGCCCATTCGCAAATGGGTTCATGGTTGCTGTCAAAACTCATATCTTCTAGCAAAGCTGATGACGATTTGGTAATTTCATATCCTGGACTATCAATTTGGAAGAAATGGATTCCCGGTCAATCGTTTACAGATATGACCTGCTGCTTGTCTGTAGTCAAGGAAGCAAATTTCAATAATCTGACGGATACTGTGTCTGGTGCAAATTCTGTTTTGTTCCTTACAAGTGATAGCATCCCTTGGAATTTTCAAAAAGCTCAGCTCCATAAACTTTTGAAGTCGATACCTTCTGGTTCTTGCTTGCCTCTTCTAATCTTAAGCGGCTCATTCAAGGATGAGTTTTCAGATCCTTCCTCCATTATAGTGGATGAATTAGGTCTCCATGACATGGACAAGTCACGAATAAGTATTTTTCTGGTTGTTTCCCTAACCAAAAACCAGCAAGTAGAATCTTTGGATGGGTTTTTTAGCGACAGCCGGTTAAGGGAGGGACTACAGTGGCTGGCTAGTGAATCACCTCCGCAACTTGTTCTTCATTGTGTTAATACGCGGGAACTTGTTCTTACTCACTTGAATCCTTCCTTGGAGGCACTTGACAGGATGAAAGACAATGAAGTAGATCCTAATGATTGTGTCCGAGCATTCAACGAAGCCTTGGATCAGTCACTTGTGGATGTTGATACTGCCGCCAAAGCAAATCATATAAGTTGGCCTTGCCCTGAGATTACTTTGCTGGAGGCGTTCACTTATGAGCATAGATTTGTGGAGGGGTGCATGCCGGAAAATGGTTGGAGTTCAGTTGAGAAAATTGAACCATTGATGTCTGCACTACAGGATTGTAAACTTCCTCTTTTCCCCGATGACTTATCTTACTTGGCCAAAGGTTCAGACGTAGGCGGAGCAATTGAGATCCAACGAGTAGAATTTAGAGAGAGCTTGATCAGGTACCTGACAGAATCCAATATATTGATGGGAGATGCGCTTGCTATAAAAGAGGCTTCCATAATGCTGCAAAGGTCTCGACTTGAGCTGCGCAGTTCGTGCTTTCATATTGTTCCGAATTGGGTTATGATCTTCAAGCGGATTTTCAATTGGCGATTGATGGGCATAGCCAGTGGGCCGTTATCTTCAGCTTATGTTTTGGAGCGTCCCGATGTCACTCGAGCTTTCGGTGATCTGGATGTGTTGGGAGTTGAAGGCAGTGGACTGTCGCCTTATCATTTAAACCAGCCATCTCTAGATGAAATGATCGAAGTTAGTTACGCCCTTCCTTTCTACAGGAGCAATTATCAGCCACTGCCAGAAGCTAATCAAGTTGTTCCCGAATTGGCCTCTAATGATGAAGCTCAAGAGGCCGTTACAGCAAGTGATTTCATCGAGAATGATTCCGTGATTGATTGGGATCGTGGAACCATTATTGCGGATAATGTTGTTAGAGAAGTTACTGTGGCTCGCAAGGTCGATGATGAAACTGATAAGTTGAGCAAGTTATTAGAGAAATGTAACATGTTGCAAAACATGATAGACGATAAACTGTCTGTATACTTCTAGTCTGCTATCGCGGATGTAAAATTTTGTACTTTTGTCTTCAACTGAAAAAAAAAAAAAAAAATCCCAACTGCTGTCCAAATTTTGATAGCTGAAAAAAAAACACGGCTAGGTTTTTCTTCGTTTCTTCTTTCTTTGAATCCGTTTAGTTCGTTGATTTGAGTTTTTAATTTGAGTTGAACTGTAATTTTATATGAGAGTTTGTTATTGTAAAAAAAAAATTAGATGTGACTATTTTTTATAGTTTTTTATTATAATAAAACTCGAATCGGTAAAATAAATAGATTTTAAAAGAACGAACTTGTGCTGACAAAGCTAGATTCCATGCCTCATTAATCTTCTGATCAAACTCAAACGAGCTCAGCTATATAAGTAAAATCTCTCTCTCTCTCTTGCGTTAATATTAAAAACTAAAAAAAAAAAAAAAAAAAGACTGGTGAGGGGTCCGATTGTTTTCAGCGGTGAAAAGTGACGAGAAAAGGGCAAAAAGAAAAATATCTACGTTAGAGGGCGGGCCAGTCAATAAAAGCTACCAATGGAATGGAGTTTGGAGGATGAATAAATCATTAGAGTTTGTGGGGTTTGCACATAATGGAACCTTTCTCTAAAGCAATTGCCCGGCAGCTCTTGCAAGTACACAAACTCTTGAACGGACGAGCTATCAGTTTATTAATGGATGGGACATCAGGTTGCTTCAAAAGGCAAAGACATGTAGGCCACTCTAACCTCTTGGGTTTTGTCACTTTCTTAGGAAACAATGACAAAAGCATGAAATGGCCATATTTACAGGCTAACCACTCTCAATTCTTGACATTATTGAGTCATAAGCCTCTCAGTTTTGTTATTATCAGATATTCGTCTCTCTCTAATCACAAACTTCATAAGGAAATTGAGAAACAGAAGACGAGTTGTCGCCGTCGTGATCATCATCATTCATTACAACCATGATTTCCCTTGTTATTGCCCATGAACTAGTCAATGCATAAACCAACAAAACCTAAGCTTAATTTTTGTACATTGTTTTTCGCAGAATGCCGTGTAGCAAAAGAAACATTTTACAACCAAACCCTGGCAACTACATGACCAACTTCCAACCTCCTGCGAGAGAAGTTGATTGTGAGACTCTACAAATCATATTTGCTCTGTCTCTACACTTGTGGGATTAGTGGACGCAAGGCTACAGCTGAAGGAGAGCAATTATTTCTTCTCCTCGAGGCACTGGTAATGTATACTCAGAAACCGTGTGACAAAGTAACATTAGCAACGGACTAGTGATTAGTAACAATATCGTAAACATAGGACTAACAACTTTCGCTGCCAGTTGTAACTGCACTGCTCATCCACATTCTGTCGTTTACAAGGCAAACAGAAGAGTCAGTATCCATAAACAAGAACGTCGTTCAAAACTAACTCGTAGAATAATGGAATGCTTAAGATTTTATCAAGCATGTTTCTTCCTCCAAAAAAAAAAAAAAAAAACACCCATGATGAAGACTTTTAGATTTTAAAGGAGGTCTAGAAGGTAGTAGTAGATCTACCGCTTGGATTAAATGTCGATGCGGTGAGAGGCAGCTTCACAAAGAACTGTCAGTTCAGTCACTGCAGTACAAAGAGATTAAAAAAAAAACATATGCTCAGATACGTTGCACAATACAGTTTGTGAGAGAGAGAGACCCATCACCTTGCAACACGGAGTAAATGTTTAGAGAATGAAATAATACAAAGTTTTAAAGACCCACCACTTCCAAGGGCCTTTGACATGTGGGAGATGGAACAACAATAGCTGGGCTTCGATTCATCGAGACGTGGTACTGACAGGACTGTAGATCTGAGGGATCGCTTCGTACTGAGCGATAAACATCTGACCCAGTTGCCGCAGATATGTCTGAAGTTCCTTTCCCTTTCCTTAATGGAGCTCTACTATTGATCCCACTTGATCCATCTGTAATTCCAGCTGCAGACTGTAAGCAAACAAAACAAAAGTTTAGCTAAACAACCCAGTCAATAGGAAGAGATAAGATAGCAATGCTATCAGAAACTTTTCTTGTTTTTTCTCTTAAAAAAGAAAAAATAATTCAGTTCATGACATGGTCTACTTATATGTGGCAATGGCAGTTTTATATAAGTACTCATATCCCTCATCAGGAAACCAATATTTATGGGATTTACTCATAAAATCTAATCTCATTTGTGGAGAAGGCATACGTACCATTTAAAAAAAAAAAAAAAGCAGTGATTTTATATTTGACGTTAAAACAATAGAATCCAACATGACATAAAGTCTCTAAGTGGACGTTTAGTTCATGGATTCAGAATGATTCTCAGTTTACATGTGTTTTTTATGAGAGAAAATATTATAGCGCGCCACAAACCATGATTCGAATTATGGCACGAATCCTCATACCAAACACCTAATAAATTGGACCCCCAAAGCTTATAGCCATAAGAAACCCAAGCAGATTGCCACATAGCAGTATAATGATAGATACAAGTTTAGATTGGAACAGGGCACAGAATCATCACAGGGAAGGTAAAAACAGATCAGCAAAATATGCAACCACAAGAAAGTTCATATAATTCATACATTCAAGCCTCTGATGTGAACAATGATAATTGTTATATCGTCTGTCCGGTTTTCATGTTCCAACCATAGTTTATAAGATTCACCAGCAATAGCAGCACAAGCATCCCGAGGATCTGTATACTTCGCAGCCTAAATGAAGAAAGGAAGAAGGAAAATCTTTAATCTATCAAGGACAAACTAACAAAGGGAATTAAGGGCAACAATAAAAGATGGTGAGAGACAGGAGGTGGTTAATAGGAGAGACACGATTTTTTCTTTTTTTCTTTTTTCCTCTTTTTAGTCTTTTCTCATTTTAGTGTCAAAAGAAAACTGCTCATCTAAAAGCCTTTGATTCGTGCATCCAAACTTTATCTACCCACTATAAAACTTGCATAATGCTAAAACTCTGTAAGACCCAAGAAAGTAATTGGTTGATTCCTAGTTGTAAGAAGCTAAAATGCTTAGAACCCAAGTCACCTATAAAATACACGATATGATTCATCCATTAAGTGACAACTATAAACAGACACTCAAATGGAAAAACCTCTTGTAATGGTAACTTCTTAGATATTGTTGCTATTGTTAGTGTGCTTATAACTTACTAAATAATCATAAATTCACATTGAACTTCACCTACACATCAAAATGAACATAAGTTACATAATTGGTCACCATCTTCAAAACCAATTAAGAAATTTTATGGAAACTAGATTAACTGGTCATTTTGAACATAACATACCATGTTTACAACAGCCTGGCTTGAGAGGAACTCAAACACCCCGTCACTTGCAACAACAAAGAAGAGATGGTTCGGTGTGAGCTCAACAACTGACAGCTCAGGATCAGCAACCACGCCGATCCTCTCCGCCGTCCTGTCACCAACGCTCCTCGTAAACGCGGTGCCAGGGTACATCCCATTCTGCACCCACAGCCTTGGAGGATCACCACCCTCACTCTCTTCATCACCCCAGCTCTGAATATCAGGATCCTTAATCCCCTCCACCTGATCAACACTCAAAACCCTGGCCCCACAAAGCTTAACCCTCTCATACTCATCCTTCCTAAACGGCGTCTGATCACGGGAGAGGTCCTCAGCAACTACCCGGTTCCCGTCTTTAACCGCGATAACCGCCCGCGAATCGCCCACATTGGCGATGAAAAGCGTGTGGCCAACGACGAGCACCGTGATCGCAGTGGTCCCGCTCATCGAATCGTCGATCTCGCGGTGGTTGTGGAGCTCGGCGTTCGTGGCCAGAAAAGCCGCATTGTAGGCCTTGGCGGGGTCGTCGAGCAATGCCGGGTCGTCCAAGAGGATTTCGACGACTCTGTCCTTGACAAAATTGGAACATTGGGTACCGAATTGTCCGTGCCCATCAAACACACCAAAGAAATGGATGTTGGGGTTACCTTGGAGCTCGGTTGTGATGCAGAAACTGTCCTGGTTCTCCTTATCGAGTGAGTCCGGATAATAGCCTCGCTGTGAGAGAACAGAGTACTCCAAACGGAAGTCGTGAGAAGGGACGGAAACGCACTCCAATGAGCGCTCCGTTAGAAGGTGTTTTCTCTGGAAACTGTACGGATCGTTTGCTGGGAATTCTCCAGAATCTCCGTTGGAGGACGAAGGGTAGCGACTACAGCACTTTCCATGGACACAACCCATTTTGAGAAGAACAAGAAGAAGAAGGGAAAAAGAAAATGGTGGAAAAATTCAAGTGCAGACAAGGTGTTTGAGAAAATGCCCAATAGAAACGGAGGGTGATTTAGCGAGATGGGCACTTCCGAAATTCGACATTGTGGAACTAAATTTGAAAATTCAGCGCAGAACTCATTTTTCAGAAGAGGAATTTGGGTAAGAAGATGAAAATTAAAAACCCTAAAAAAGTAAGGAACTTTTTACTTTTTGAATGATGAATACACGATGATTGAGAGTTCTTTCTAAACTTTCCAGGGAAAATTTTTCTCTCTTCAAACTCTCGAGAAAGAAACTGTGTGTGTTTGGAGTGAAAGAAAACACATAAAGCAAAGGCTGAGACAGTTTTTTTGGCCTTTCACTTTCTTTCTTGATGACGATCATAATTTTCTTTTTTTTTTTCCCTAAAAAGGTGAAATAAAGAAAGCAACTTTTGAGAACATGATTGATTCAGAAGGTGAAATAACAACAATAGCAACAGAAGGGAGAAGAGAAAGCATTAAGTGAGGGAGAAAGATTGAAGAACACGAAACCTCCCAAGAGAAGTGTCCAAATTGGATCCGTGTCCGTAAGTCTGTTTATAGTGTCTGAAAATGGTGACGAAAATAAGGTTTTCTTTTTCTCTTTATTCAAAGGAATGGTTTTAGAGAGAGAAAGAGACAGAGAGAGTAAACAAACAAGATTCAATCTTGTGTGCATGGGTGGGTTTGTTGTCGACTGACTGAAAAAAAAAAAAAAGAAAGGCCCGTGTTCCGAGAAAACACCCACCAACACGATACTGTGACTGACCGAGTGAGAAAGGTCAATATTATTTGATAATAAATTAAACAAATGTGACGCAAAAATCAAATATTATAATAAATTAAAGAATGAAAGAAATTTCCAAGAATGGTACAAGGGATGTTAGCAAAAATCTTGTTGTTGCGTCGTGAATAATGCAAAGCTTCATTACTTGTTACAACAGTTTGGCCGGGATGTGTGGTGATGTTTGGTAGATGGATTTATTTTTTAATTCGTGGTTTATTATAGTATTTTTTTTCATAAAAAATACACATAAGTTAAAAATAATTCTAATCACATAGTTCTAATCCATAAACCAAACGCATGTTTAATTGAGAAGTGGGGTTTGTCAAGGATTGGGTGGATTTTATCGCTCGAGATTTTCAATCCTGCCATTTTAATTAACTTTTTCTGCAGTGGGATCTCTTAAAAAAATTTACCGGTGGTATACTTTATTTGATTATTACATTATTTTTTCAACGATTAAATCTATAAAGTGAGTAGTTTTATGCTACGCGCTATAAAATTTTAATACGAATCTATACAGATCTAATTGTTATAAACTTAATCCAATAGTTAAAATAAGATATTCTATCAGTGAGTTTTTTTTTAAAGTTTCACTATAGAGGCTCCTTTTTAATTAAGTGAAGAGCATCGATAATATTCGAATTCATAAGTTTAGATTTTCGGAGAACGTTGTTTCTATTTGCTTGATTTGTTTTCTTTCATTGCTTTGGATTAAGGATGTTGGTATTCTATTCGTGTAGCTAGTTGCCTCTGTTTAGTGATTCTTAATTTTGTTGTTTTTCTTCCCTCTGTCAATGGAATGCTTTTTTATAAAATTAAAAAAAAAAATTGTTTTAACAGTTCTCATTTGGCAAATTAACATCAGAATTGGTTTATTAAGTGATCAACATGCTTAATAAAATAAAAATAATAATAATAAAAAGTGGCTTGCGGCATAGGTATTGGATCGAATAAGTTGTCAAACTTGCCATGAGTATTAGGCTCGGTACAAATATATAAGCATTTTTTGTTGATTGCAATTGAGTAGCTTATTATTCTTGTACGTATAGTATTTTTAATGCAATATTATAATTGATGTGTCAATTGTAAATTTAATATTTAAGTATAAAAAATCTTTTTAATATAATATTATTTGTTGTGTCAAATTTTTTATATAGTATATTTTGTGATAAATTTTTCATTAAATATAACATATAAAAAATTTAATATTTGATTGTTATTGATTGAAATATTTATTTTTTTATGTAATTATTGTAATTTTTATATTTTTTAATTACTTTAAATAAAATTTATTTTTAAAACTTAATGATTATAAGGAAAAATAAATTTAATATTAATAAAAATAACATGTCATGTCGTATTTTTTGATGCTAAATGCTATAGTCCTAATAAAGTAGTAAAAATTGGAAGAATTGAACCCAAAAAAAAAAAAAAAAAAAAAAAAAAAAGGGGGGAAAAATCTATCAAAATTTTTAAAAAATAAAAAAAAAAAAAAAAAAAAAACGGTGGAGAAATCTATCACAATCTTTTAGGTGATATATTAATAAATCTATCGGTTGGAGTTGGACTGGTTGTATCTCACATAGTTTGTCTCCTGTTCTGTTTTGGAAGTTTCTTTTTCGTATGAGAATAAAAATGCATACTCCCAAAAGCACCTAAAGAAAAGTCTCACCATCTTATTCGCACTTTTGGTTTACTCGCTCATTTCTTTTTCCCACTTGTTTTCGAGGATATTGCTGAAAGGCAGCTTGTAGGAAGATCAAGATGTCTCTCTTGAGACTTCTACACTTCTACCAATAAGAAATGAGAGAGAGAGAGAATAAAAAATGAGAGAGAGAGAGAGATTAACTAATAAATTTCAAGATGTTTAAAAAAAAAAAAAAAAAAAAAAAAAAAAAAAAAATGAAAGGACAAAATTTTAAAAAAAAAAAAAAAAAAAAAAAAAGAAGTCAAAATGATAGGACCAACCAAGGGTCCCAAAAGTAATGTCCTCACACAACTTATGATTCCCCTTGGGATTTTTTTTTTTTTTTTTTTGGGTAACTTTTTAATTTTGACCCATTGCATCAATTAATTTTTTTGTTTACCCAAAAGTAATGTCTCACACAACTTATGATTCCCCTTAGGATTTTTTTTTTTTTTTGGGGTAACTTTTTAATTTTGACCCATTGCATCAATTAATTTTTTTGTTTGAGTAAACATGCAAATCTTTCTTGATATAAAAGAATTTTACAGATTTTTTCACTAATTAAGTACCAAAAGTTAATGATTTTGGATCTTTCTTCTTGTTTCTGTATGTAGTATGCTTATGCAGCGCATATGTGATTATGTGTGTCAGTGTATATATATATATATATATATATAAAGGTCTCGTTTATTTTGTCGATTCGAGTTTTACTATAGTAAAAAATTCTCAAAAACAGTCACATTTAATTTTTTTACTATAGTAAAAAGTTATCATATAAAGTCACATCTTAATTTGAATTAAAAATTCCAATCAATGAACTAAACGGGCCCAAAATTAATACATATACACAGACACATAAAACTCCTTTCTATATTCCAATTTATAAAGCTGGTTGGATAACAACTTGGGAAATCATGAACCGAGAGTAAGTTGGTAAGTTAGATTGAAACCAGAAGCTATGGTACTTAGCATGTTTTATGGTTTTTTAATGTATGCTCTTTATGCAGTTAGCTCAACTCACTTTGGTATTAAATTGAATTACAATGGTAGCTTTTCAACTTAAAGTAAAATGACTTGATCTTATTACACAAATGATCCTCAAATTATATCATGTATCACTTTAGTCCTTAAACTTAGGATTCCGTTCATTTTCGAACCGTAAGTGGACACATGCTTGTCACGTGATATCTACCAAGAGCCTCCTTTCCCCTCCTTACTTGGACGGGCTAAGCTTTTGGACTTTCAAATTCACCTCAACTCAAGCTGTAAGTAGACATCTCACCATCAAAATTCTCTCTTCTTGACTTTTGTTGCAGTCTTCTTTTAAATTTTCTTTTCACACAAAAAAATATGAGGACTGAGGTCTCGTTCATTTCACCGATTCGAGTTTTACTACAGTAAAAAATTCTCAGAAACAGTTACATCTAACTTTTTTGCTACAGTAAAAAGCTTTCACATAAAGTCACGTCTCAACTCGAATCAGCAAACTAAATGAGTCTAGTATCTATAACTAACAATTAAGATGTAAAACTTCAATCCACAACCGAGTCGAACAAAAATAGGTGTAACAATGTTATACTTAGGGTTAGGTAATGCCGTAATATGTAAGGGAAAAAAAAGTCGGGAAATAAGTGGGACAAGTGATATAATACGAGGGTCATTGTGAAATTAACCCTTATTGTTTTGGGGTGGGTACTTTCCTTATTTGAAGGATAAATTAGAATGGTAGTTCCACAATATGTTTTGCTCTTTATTTGATTGGGGCTTCAATTATCTGGTACAGTGGTAGGTTTTGTTATTGGTACATGTGTGGCAGCAGTATTGATAATGACATAAATTCAACCATTTCAATTTTATTTTTTGTTGAATACCTTCAATATTTTGTTTAATTTACCAATATCTATATGGCAGAAGGAGAAAAAGGGTCTATTTTCTAGGGTAATGAAAATCAATGGTAGGGTGATTTTTTTTTTTAAATTAATAGATGAATTTGGTCCTAAATTTTAAAAAAATTAGTAGCCCATCCTCGTAGAGACAAGCTTTGTGATCTTCTCGTCCGATGATCGAGAAAGGACAGTGTTGCCATGGGCAGTTCAAGGAATTATAAGTACATTTTTGTGTAATTTTTAAAAAATAAAAGTGTGTTTAGTTGGTAGATTCGTATCATGGTTCAGATCATAGTTCGTGACTCGCTATAGTATTTTCTAAAAAAAATACACGTAAATCGAGAATAGTTCTGAATCACGATTCTGAATTCATGAACAAAACGTCCACAAGTTAGTTTGTGCAAGGTTCACTACTTAAGTACCCTACTTCCTGCAAATTCCCTATCCGTAGACCTAGAAGTCAAACACTTGGATACTCCAATTGTGAGTTAATAAAGGTAATTTTAACAAATACTCCTGAAAGTACACGAGTCATGATTTTTATCATTTATTATTGATTCATAACCTTTTTAATTAAATAATTATACTAATAAAATAGTATTTAAATAATTACACTAATAAAATAGTATTTATTAAGTGTAACGGTACAGGTCCAGCTCCAAGATAAATTCTCTATCTTTTTCGTTTAGTAGAAAATATGCCAATATGAAAAGCTTAAGAAAGTGTATAGGCCAATTTTTAGTTATAAAAATTAATATGCCATAACTTGTCAAGTTATGGTTCATAACCAGATAAGTTATAGACAAACTTGTCAAGTTATGGTTCATAACCAGACAAGTTATGGACAAAAACCGTGAATAACTTGTAAAGTTATGGTTCATAATCAAACAAGTTATGGACGAAAACAGTAATTTAGCCTATTTATTAATTTATGTAAATTATTGACCTATTAATTTTAATTCATCTCGGCCTATTTTCCTCTTTCTCTCTTTTTTTTTAAATCCAAAGCCCAAAGCCATACCAGCCCAGCCAAACAAGAAAACTGGGTCATGGCTATTCCTACTTCCTTAACATGGAGCCCAATATTGAAGGGCCCAGAAACGTTTCCAGCAAAGTTTTGTAGTGCCAACGATTTCAACAGTTTCAGTTCAATTCGAACTCTTGAAGTTCGATATTCACAACTAAGAACCGTGTATATCTTCTTACGTAGATCTTATTTTATTAAAATTTAAAACCAAGTGGAAAATGCGTTGACTACTGCAGCAGTTCATCATAATCAGGGGGGGAGCTAGGTGGAGGCCCAGGGGCAGCTGCCCCCTGGGCCCACTAGCTCCTTTAAATATTTGCCCCCATTCAAAATTTCTTACATTTTCTTCTTTCATTTGCTCCCCCAAAAATCTTTTTAATTACAATATTCATATGATTTTTTATAAAAAAGTTCAGTTTTACCCTAAGTTTTAATTCTTTTAAGTACTCTTATCTCAAACTTAAAATCTCTAATAAGTCAAAGATACAAAAGAGATAAATGAAAGTAAAAAGACTATTGTGTTGTATTTTAGTTTAATTTTTTATTTCATTTATGCCCCCCTAAAAAAAAAACAAATTCTGGTTCCGCTACTAATCATAATCACGTGTATGTTACTGTTTTTTTGCATTCACATAATGAGTGAAGCAAAAAAACAAGAAGAAAAAGTTCACATAATTATTATGTTATATATGCAACGACATTAGGAATCATATATATGACTACATGAGATATATCTTTATCATATATATATGCACTTGGATGGCTGGCCGCTGGTGACTTCCACGCCAGCAGCTACATTATCATGGAAGAAAAGACATGTTCATTGATATCAATATATATGTGTGTGTATATATATGTGTGTGTATATATATATATATATATCACGCAACCCCTCATGCATGCAAAAGTAAAACCAAAGTTGATTTCGTTATTTAATGTAATTAACAATGCGTCACTTTTGGAATATATCATTTAGAAGAAGAAAACAATGCAAGAAAAGTGACTTAAGAAAAAGAATAAAGCTAAAACTCAAATCAAAGACAAAATGTAAGGTGTGAGTTTTTCCTTTAATAACACCAATAACAGTAATAATCTAGAACCAAAAACATTATGGGGAGACAATAAGGGAGGGAATGAGGAGAAAATAAAATAAAAATCCTAGCTAAAGAGAACAAGATGATAGAGAAAGAAAAATGAATAGAACAGATTAAATACAAAGAGGACCCCAAAAAAAGAAAAAGAAAAGGGTTTAACATTTTTTTTTTGTTTTTGGATAATTAAAGGTTTTTTTTTTTTTTTTTTTTTTTTTTTTTTTTTTTTTTTTTTTTTACTTTTCATATATAAGCTGAAGAAGCCCACTTTTCAAACTCCCCACTCACTATATAAGTAGTTCAAAAGCTCAAAAATCTCTTCTAGCTAGGCGTGGCATGCCTAAGTGGGGTGCATTATCATGGTGATCCCAGTAAATGCTTCCACGTCACCATCTCCCCAATAATCCCCCACTTTTATCCACAGGGTCAAACTCCTCACTCGTCGTCAACCTCTTCAACCAATATAATCTCTCCACGTCATCACCCGCCCTAAAATTTTTCAAAAAAAAAAAAATTTCTGAAAAAACTGAACTTACTCTCTTTCCCCTACTACCAATTCATTTCCCTCCTTTCCTTGTCTTCCCCTTTTCCTTCTCCGATTATCTACCGCCGTCACCGGCGCCGCCGTGGACTTAGGCTTTGTTTTTAATTCCGACGAGCAGCGAAGGTCTGGTAGACGACGGCTCCGGCGGCGGGGAACTCGTCGGCCGCGAAACTCCGGCATTTGAGGCCGGCGCTCTCGAGTGCGGCGGCGACGCGCTTCCACACCTCGGGACTTGAGCAGGAGGTTGTGGAGACCGACATCTTCGCCGGCCGGAAAACCTGCGCGACCTTCTTCAACACGCGAGCGACGTCGTTTTTGTCGCCGACGGTCTCGAAGCTCGCGTAGCTGTAGCCGTCCTCGGGAGTGACGTGGATCGTGGAGTACCGATCGGCGACGAGGCCGTTCATGGAGTATCCGCAGGGATCGAAGGCGTAGTCGCAGATCAGAGCCCTGGGGTTTATGTTCCCGATCCCGGTGATTTCGGTCATTTCTTTCCCGGCGGAGTCGCCGGACTTGCCGTCGTTCGGTCGGCGGAAGAATTTCCCTGCGGAAGCGGCATCGAGCTCCGTCATGCAGATTTCGACGGTGAAGACCGATTCGTCGGAGAGATCGAGTTCGGCGGCGGCGGTGAAGACGTGCCATGAGTGGGAGGGGAGCTTGGAAGTCATGACGGAGGCCTTGCGGAAGCGGAGATTCGTCGGGAGGCAATCCTCGAGGAAAACGACCTCGTTTTGGAAGCTGTTGTGAGGGAACGGCTGTGACTCGGGGAAGATGAAGTTACCGCGGGTGTACCTGACGGAGGAGAGAGAAAGGCCGAGGAGACGGGCGTGTTGGATCATCGGTCGGACGGATTTCAGCAGCTGAGTGGTCCCGCAGGTCTTGATGATGATCTTGGTTGGGTAAACGAAAAGGCTTGATTCTGATAAAACGTAGGAGTCGAAGTAATGGTTTCCGACGGCGGAGACGACGGTGCATTGGACTGCATGTAGGACCTGCTGTAGAGAATCGAAGTCCAGTTGCCTTAGGCCCAGGCCCATGCCGATGCCCATTTCCAGGCCCAACATAGGGTCGTCTCCAAAGAAATGGAGCTCCAAGCGCTTCTCAAACCCTTCAAAACCGGACACTGCCATTTGAGAGATTTGAATATTTTGATGAAATTGGAAGTGATAGAAAAGTTTGTGTGGCTTTTTTCTTTTTTTCTTTTCTTTTTTTATAAGTTAGTGAGTGTGTTTTTTTTTTTTTTGTTGGTGGGTTGAGGAATTCAATTAACTACAGGTGAAAGAGGGAAGTGGGGTGAGGATGGTATTTATAGGTGGGTGTTTGAGAGAGAGGAGAGAGAGAGAAGGGGGGGCATGCGGGTGAGGCAACCAAGACTCATGATTGCAGGCATTATGAAGTGAATATACAAGATTGATGTCTGTTTTAGAAATGGGTTCTTCTTGTTTTTGTGTGCAAAATCTTTGTAGAAGAAAAAAACAAAAAAAGATAGGTACATGAAACGGAATTTAAGCCCACGCGCAATTAATCTTTTTTAGTTTCTTTTTTTTTGTTTGCACAATGTATTGTCACTAAATCCCTGCAATTTCTCCACTCACTATTCATTCTAGTTTGAGTGTGCTAAAGAAAGAAAAGACTTGTTCTTTTAGAGTTTAACTTGAGTATAATTTTTGAGTTGAATTTGAGTTATAACTTGAGTTTGTGTTTAGTTGTGTACATTTGAGTTATGGTTTGAGATAAGAATCTTTTTGAGTTTGTGTTTGAGTGAGTCAAAACTTCAATTTGTATTTATATAGTATTTTAATAAAAACTCAATGCTGATGAAAAATTTTAATATGATATATGGGTCGGGTTTTATTCGTTTTTTCGTTGTCAACACATAGAAAAAAAAATCATCTTAATCAGAATTAAAATGAAAAAGTTATAGCATTTTTAAGAATAGAAAAAATATTATTCATTAATTTGAATTCGAGTTTCTGAACTCGAGTTGAAGGGGAAACTTGAACTCGAGTTTTAGTCCTAAACTCGAGTTTGAACTCGAGTTTAAATTTGAGTTTAAACTTAAAAAAACATGAACTTAAATAAAATTATAACTCAAGTTACATTTTTTTAAATTTTTCACTCAAAAAGACAGGCCAAAAGTCCTCTATCATCTTCACCCAAAATGGGATTTAGCGATTAGATTTAGATTCTTTGTAAGCACGTTTTTGCACCATCATTTTTGAATTTTGTGCTTCCTTGATGATGTGACAGTATTCTCAAATCTCTTCAAGACGTTTTCATTTTGTTTAATTTGCTCAGTTAAAAAAAAAAAAAAAAAAAAAAAAAAAAAAAAAAAAAAAGGAACGAAAAAGGGTCCTTAATTTGCCTTTTTTGATCCACTAATTAGATCATAAGAGACAAGCTTGTCCTTGAAGTATTAATTAGTAATTCAAAGTTCTATATATCATCCGAACTAGCTAGAAATTGTTCTTGATTGGTGTATGGTCTACAAGTTTGAGTTTTCTTAACCATGCATCGACAAAACACAAAAGTCTATTCTTAATTGGTCAAGTAATTGTGTTGTGTGAATTAGTATTAGAAAAAGAAAAAAAAAAAAAAAACATAAGATGACCAATAGTCCAATACAATGTTTCCACACTTGACCTTTTTACCAATCAACAGCAAGCAACATCGTGATTATCTAGCAAAATTCTGGTTTTAGTACAAGGACCAAATCATGAAAAATCCTGACAAATACATCTATATGTTTCTTTGCTAAAACTTTGGGTATATTTAGTTAAATGTTTTTGACCCAATATTGAGATTATACGTTATGAAAGTTCCCCAAAAATAAATAAAAAAATAAATTGGGCCACATACATCATCCAAAGAAAACCCCCACCAAAAGATGGATTAGAATTTGGTCAAAATTCAGCATTCACTATTACAATGCCATTATATCTAAGTCATAGTTCTCTAAAAACACAAACACCATTATAGATCAGAACTAGATATGTTTCTGTGCATGACAGCAATTATTAGTGATGCTGCTAAGCTTATTAATTTGCTGCTCATAGGCGTTGCCGGGTTTTGGTAGCTACACATTTTCCAGCCGACGTGGACCAACAAAAAAAAAAAAAAAAAACGCCAAAGGACTAAACCTAATCAAATACACAAAATCACTTTCTTATTATCATCCATTCACCGTTCACAGCGGCGGATTTAAGTACAGCTTAATGGGATCCTACTCAAAGTTTTTTTTAAAAAATATTACCTTTAAAAATTTTATACTTAAACCCCCACTGAAATAGTATATACTCCTACTAAAATAAATATATTTTCTTATGTGCTTTCACTAAGATAATTTGTTAAAAAAAATTTAATGTACGCCTCCACTAAAATAAAAGACTGATTCCGACACTGACCGTTTATATCACTACACACGTGACAGTCTGTCAAACTTACCTTATAATAGTATGAGATTCAACTACGACACATATATTAACACGATAATTTTATATTATCTCTAAGTATATAGTAATGCATCACTTGTAGTAATACTATATCGAAAAACATATAATAGACAAGCAATACTCAAAAACTTTATAAAATGGTAAGTGGGGTATTGGAAAAAAAAAAGTTTTTTAAAAAAAAAGGGAAGAAAAACTAACACTGGCTAGACGTGCCCAAAAATCTCATCAATGTATATATATATTTTAGGTTCCTAACAATAATTCCGTTTGCGAAACCGAAAAACAAAAGGAATCAGGCGTGGCAGATAAATAATGAGAATATCCTTGAATTAGGGGAAGGCCCCGTACGTGAAATCAAAGCCATTCCCATTCCACATCATTTTTATTCCCCATGCATGCAAATTCATGTAGCAGCTGCTAGGTGGCATTATCATCATTTTGTGTATGCATTTTTTTTTTTCTTTTCTTTTGGGTATTTCTCAAAACATGCAAACTTTTTAACTCCAAAACTCAAATGGGTTTTCGTTAATTAGTTCAATAAATTAGAAAAAAAAATGAGGATAATATAATCTTACACACGCAATAATAGGAATTATGTCAAGATTGATTAGCCAAAACTTTTGTGATCAACAACAAACTTAGGCCTACAATTATTTGTGAGTTACATACGGTCCGACATCCACAATAAAATGGGTTTTCTTTTTTTTTTTTTTGGCCAAAAGAATGCAAACCAAAAAAAAAAAAAAATTGGGTTTGTAATGTCTAGCTTATAATGCGGAGAGAGAGAGAGAGAGAGGTGTAACTGTAAAGCTGAACAGAGGAACAGTAACTTTGAAGGAAAAGGAAGTAATTAGTGCTTATTGGGCTTTCCAAGGTATTTTCATTTCATTGCATTTCATAGCCAACTTCAAACACATCTCTCATATCTCACCAAGTCTCCTTGGCTTTTAATTTAAGACTATATATCTATATGGTATGTTTGAAGATTATACCAATATCAAAACCATCAAGTATACACAAACATGTTATACTTTATAGGGTAGTTAGATATATAGAGACATAAATACATAACACAAAAGGCCTAATTAATTAGTACTAGATAAATGTTAATCAAAAGGGTTTTTTTTTTTCTTTCTTTAAAAAAAGAGAGAGATTAGAGAGAATGAGATTAGGAGGAAAGTAATGATGGAAAATTGTGAGTTTAGAATCAAAATTGTTTTGCAGTTTTGAGAGAGAGAGAGAGAGAAATGATGTGGAATGTATTGGCGTCATGAATAAATCTGATGGGTGTGGCTGGCAGCCCCCATTATGACCACAAACCCACCCTCTTTGTGCTGCACGCGCACCCACCAAACTCAACACACTATCTATCTCTACTCTATCTCTCTCAAGACTCTCTCTCACTCCCACACGCAAGCTTACCTCCAATACATATTTACATATACATATAATGTGCGTGTATATATATATATATATATATTCGCTATAGATATCTCTAACTTTCTCTCTCTCCCTAAAATGGTCAACCACTTTGTAGAATCAAATCTTACTTGAAAAGTGCAAAACCAAACTCTCTCTCAAAGCAAAAGTTGGGGACTTTTTTGTGAAAAGTCGCCAGCCAAAATCTTCCCATCTTAGGATTTTAATTCTTTTTGGGAAAAAACAAATGGTGCAAAGCGTAAGTTGAAGGGACAAAGAAAAGTATATTCATATATATATTTTTTGGTTTGTTTTTTTTTTTTTTTTATGAGGAATAAGTGTATCAAAACCTATAACCTCAAATCATGCAATCTCCCAAATCCTAACTCGTTGGCCCCCACTCATGGGCCGACAACCAACGTGGACGTTGGGCCCGCCAAGCCACCACATCATCTAGGCATGTGTCCCAACTGCTCGGCAATTGTGGGCCCCCCTTTTATTGTTTTGTTGGACATGGAGGCCCCACAAGGCCCTCCGTTTGGGCGACAATTGATGGGTTTTGTTGGGTATGGCAAACAAAGCGGGCTTGGGCCTTTACCAGCCGCCATACAATGCCCTTGCACGCGCGCAATTCTGCACACATGTGGTATAGTTTTGTTTTTTTTTTTTTTTCAGATGTGGTATAGTTACATTGCATAGAGAGCCGTCTTGTATTAGACAATTTGTGTTGGTTCTTTTTATTTTTCCCACTAAAATACAATCAATAAATTAGGGTGTAAAGTTTTAACACCCTCAAGGCATGCAAAAAGTTAATTAATTTTTTTAATTGATAGATCTTAAAATATTATCTCGGCCAATCACCATTCAAAAATTACGTCTATTAATAAGACTGTGACAACTCACCTATTACGTAAATTGATAATAATAAATATTCACAGCTCACTTTTTTATTTTATTTCATTTATTTTATTCACACCCCCGCCTTTTATTTTATTTCATTTCTTTTTAGTCTTTTTAACACTAATTATAGTTGAGCAGCCGTGAGTGCTACTGTACCATGCGCACATAAAAATTTTGCCCCCAAATGGGATGGACCCCACCACTCTCTTATCTTAACTCATTTTGGGGACTAACATGTTCTTAGTGACTCTCCCAACTATTGCAATTCTTTTGCCGGGGGTTTCAATTTCATTTGGCATCATTCACTGGCTTTTTAACCTCCTTTTTCATCTTCTTTATATGTTGAGGGTTGATATACA